GCTGGGTAAAGGAATATCCGCTGGATAAAGGGTGTACCCTATTTATAGGAATACTAGGTTGCCCTAATTTGGCTACAAGACAAAATAAGAAGTCGGTGGGTGGTCCAACTCGACGTGACGTCGAGCCTGCGTGGTCGAGTCTGTGTCCAGACAGCTTCCTGACGTCCTACTCGACGTGTCGTCGAGTCCATGTGGTCGAGGGGGAGTGATTCTTCAAAGGGTGCTCCTTGATGGCCTCCTACTCGACCTCACGTCGAGTTGGTGTGGTCGAGTCTAACCCTTGGTGGTTTCTGAGCGCCTGCTCGACCTCCTGTCGAGTCCAACCAGTTTTCTGGATATGTCTCCATTAAAACCACCATAATTCTTGCATCAAAGCTCCGATTCACTTGACATCACCTCCGTTGGAAAGGTAACTCAATTTCCTATAACTTGTATGAAGAGCTCTGAAGCTAAATCGCAATGAAAGACTGGCTCTGAATCATCAATTCTCTTCTTTGCATCCATTAAGTCCCAAATAAGCTCCAAATACCTGAAACACATCCAATATGCAATATGCTATGCCATGCAATGCAAATCGTACTAAGTGATGAAAATGATATGAAAAGGACTATGGATGCAATGAAAGAGAGATGAAACTTAGCTAAATGCACGAGAAAAGTGTGCTTAAAAGCGGTAAAATACATAGACATCAAACACATATCAATAGAAAAAAATGAGTACTTACTGATGAACTAGTAGCATTATTGTCGGATGCTTCTTTGTATACTTTGACTTTTTCAGGTGGCCATGGAATTGTAGTACCCACAGCTTCGCCAACGTTTTCGCATCAGAGGTAGGCCTCCAGAGAGATGCTACTCCTAATGTTGCAGACTTCAGATAAATAGCTGCAGCATTGGGACCAATTGCAATTCGACCAATCTTATACACTGGATCAACAGAACAGAATTCCCCTTCTCCAACCACAACATCTTCTGATGAATACCAATCCAGTATTTGACACCAAGTTCCTTCTGCAGTGTCTTGGTTTACTTCTCTACTTTCTGCTCTGGAGGCATCATCAATCTATTTCAACTCACACAAAATAACAGTGTTACAAAGTAAACATCATAATGTATGCATTTCTATAAGAAAAATGTAAAATTAAACCTTAATCCCTGTAGCTAATTGATTCTTTACTTCATTCTGAAAGTCTTGAAATTTACGGAGCAAATCAGCTTGTTGTGCTTCAAGATTCTTCACATGTGCGTCCCTTGCTTGAAGAAATGCTAGCTTGGTAGCTGTAACACCTCTGCCTAAACCTCTAATCCTTCCAGGTTTGTCTTTCCCTAACACTTTGCTCACTGCATCTTCTCTAATATTATTACCAGCAGTTGAGCCTACTTCACTATCAATAGACTTTATTTGTTCCTGATACAATTAATCAGCTAGAATGTAATTAAAATGAATGTACAAAATCTATAATTATAAAGTTGATTCTTACTTACAATAGTGTCCTGAAATTCTGGTCTCACAGGTCTCCCATCTGAATGTGTGTGTCCTGCTAGCCAGATTTTGCTTCTAGTCACATCAGTAGGGTTAGAACTCTTTTTCTTCTACAATCAACAAGTTAAGTGTTTAAAACCATGCATCATAAACCAATATATTCAAACACCAATATATTCAAACAAAACCAATCATACCATGTCATGAGCAAGCCGGACAAATCCTTTGCGGCTGGAGGTTTGTGGAATCTGACTTTGTCTCATTTTCCTGTATATGTCACATTTTTCCTACAAATAGAAGACATTATTTTAGAATAATAATATTTCCAATAACAGATTTAAAATAAATTCAAATAATAACCTTAAAAGCTGAGCTTTTTCTACTCTTCACCCAATTTTTCCAAGCTGTCACAGACGGTATGTTACTTGGTCTTAACTGCAGAATCTCAGTCTTGCTGGTTGTAGCTCTTACTAGTGTAGACAACTTTGATTTGTGACTTCTCCAACTAGAATTCATCTGCTTGAAAACACAGTCTTTGTGCCACTCTTCATTCAAATTAAACCTAGCCTACAATCAGTTACAAGAACTAACATTAGTAACTTAAAATGCATAATATACACAAATGTAATAAAGTATTGAGAAAGAAGAAGATAATTACCTGAATTTCTTCCCACATTGCATCTTTTGTCTCAGCTTTTAGATACCTCCAGTCATCAAGCAGAACCGGTACATGTTCTCTCACCAAAATACCAAGAAAAGAGGACAGTGTCACTGATCCACTTCCCACATGCTCACCCACAGATGCGAATTCAATATCCAATAATTCATCAGGTTGTGTAGCAACTCTACGCATCCTACTTGGTCCCCTAGTTTTCTTTTTCTTGCCATCTGACTTCTCTGGTTGAACTTCATCAGTGGAACCAGCCACAGGTTCTTCTTGAATATGTGGAGAGACATTTTCTTCAACCTCCTCTTGTTCTTGTTCTTCTTCTACTTCTTCTTCTTGTTCTCTATGTTCTGCTTCTACTTCTTGTTCTTCTACTCCAGTGTCTTGTAATTTATCAGTTCTTCCAACAACTTGTGAAGATTCTACATCTCCATCTCCATCCCCATCACCACCACGTTTCTGACCTTTCGGCTTGCGTTTTTTAGTTACCTTCACTAAGATGGGAGTAGGATCATCCCCTTGTTGACGTTTGCTGCGTCGGATATTGTCCGGGTTTCTCTGAGACATGATGTATTACCTGAAAATAACC